TGTAAATAATAATAAAATTCAGTATACAATTTTTAGTTCACATATATTCATGTATGTAGCATAGCATGTAAAAGTTATATACCTTTGAAACTCCTAAAAGAATGAATGTCCAGAAGTTATATTAACAATATTATATTCACACACCAAAATTTAGTTAAATAATGTTCAAATAATTATTTCCAGCTTGTAAATGCAATATTAACAATGTAATGCTCTCATTAAATCGGTGTAGATATTGAAGTTTTAAAGGTCTTCATTTAACTATGATGTCCTCATCAAGCCAGAAATGCTTAATACTTTTTACCCATTACAACACAGACACTCTTTTTCATAGCAATTATTCATAGCTCTTGGTGTGAGTAGAAATGCAACAATTAAGAGGTCTCTGACATACAACAAATGAAGGTATTTCTTCATAAGTAATACACCAAAAGTGTAGGCATTTGGTTGTCATTATAATTATTATTATATTAGAATGTCATTATAATTATATTAGAATGCATTTTTCACAGTGCTGTTTTCTAAGTATCTATTTTAAGAAACTCAAGTAAATAAGGCTGTGCTCCGTATATGCTACAGCTAAACCTCATTCGTTCCAATTATTTCTAATATCCAGGGAACATATTTTAGAGAACACACTAATATGAGTCAAACCATAAAATAAAATTTAAAAAATTGATACTTTTTGGAAAAAGTAACTCCTTGAATTTGTCATGCAAACATAGAAGAAACATACTGAATAAAAGTCCTTTTCGCTGCTGTGTTTTTAATGAACATAAATAAAATTGGTTACTCTGTTTTACCTTGAATCTTTTTTAAATTTAAAGTATGTATTGTGGCATTTTGCTTTCATCAAAGCAAATACATTGATCTATTAGAATTGCTGCATCACAAAAATGCGCATTTTAGTGTCCCATGGGCTTGAGCATCCATCTATGCTATTCTACTAAAGTTGTGAAAACAAATAGTTAACCTCTACTAGTAAGTCATCTGCAACCTTTCTTTTTAGAATTTACCATGGATAAAATGATCATTAAGATTTTTAAGTTAAATTGCTACAAACATCGGTGTCCATGGCCAAAATCCTAAGAATTTCAGAGTAGAAACAGGTCTCCAAAGTTACCTAGTCAGTTCTAATCGTGAATACAAATGTAGGCTGACATTTTGTTTGCTCCAAAGAGAAATGAGAAGAGCAAGCATACTGCAGTGACTTTTATAGAAAGCTAAATTTTCTCAATTTATGAAATTGTCTTTCATTCTGAGATCATGCCATCTTACATTTTTGTATTCAGTGACCTTTATTTATTTAGAAAAATTCCTCATCATATCATTGATAGGTTTGAATCCAATCTTAGAGGAGCAATAACAAAGACTGACCCCAGTGAGAACAGAAGATTAAACTTAAAGTAAACAATGCAATGTGCAAGAAAGAGAGATACAAGAAGTAATTAACACCTGTTACCTACCATCCTTTACAAAGAATTTCTAATGTGATCATCTAAAAAGACCTGCAAGGTATAAACTGTGTTACTTTTTTCAGGCAGAAAAACTGGGGATTAGAGAGTTAATACTTCAAAGAGGTCACGATTGTGAACCAGTTTGGAAATTCAGGCCTGTATGCCTCTGGAGCCCACGCTCTGTGTCCCAGACTCATTGCCTCCCCAAATAAAAAGGACCAGAAAACCATGCAAGAGTTAAAGGAGTAGGCAAACAATGTAAAAACTTATAAAATTCCTGACATTTCCTCCAAATACTTCCATAATGAAGATAACAGAATTGGACACAAAATGCTTTCCTCTTAAGTATTAAGATCTTGCTAACATGTACAGGGGAAATACCCACGTATAAGTCAGGAAGATATGTACAGCAATTTATAAAAGTACATATTCCAGGAGCTCAGGTGCTTGGATTTCCTCTAAGAAACACTGCTCTGCCCTTATCTTCAGAGGGAAGTCACATGGTTCAGCAAGTTGTGTTTAATATGCAGTCGTTACAATGCTATAACCATTTTGATCTGTTCAGAGATTTTTGTTTTGCCTCCAATTAATTTTAACCTCTGGTTCTTTTGTCTTATACCTGAGCACCGTTATTTATTTAGCTCTTTTGGAAGCCTTTGAGTATGATATGCATTTATATTACTGGACTTTGTTCTAGATTTTTATGACTATAACTATCATAGTTATTTTAATTTATTCTATATAATTTGATAAAATATATGTAT